CCTCTCTACGTGTGTGGCGCATATATATTTGGTGCCCCCCTGTACCAATATTTATGTGTTCAAATAAATAATAAGTAAATAAATAAATCCTCTGCACGTGGTAGCATCAACGGCGTAATGAGAAAGATTAAATCCAATAGTATTAATCGATAACGACGCTGGCCTAAACTCCAACGTAGTGTGGAAAGGCCTTAAAGGATGTTACAATACTATTATTATCTTCAGCCAAAGGTCATGGCCAATAAAGCAGAAACACAGATGGCGAAGATAACGTTTATTTCTCAACAATCACGATAGTGTGTGTATATAACCAGACAGCTATATCCGTTTACGTACTATTGATGCAAAGAAACAATAGATATTGAATATAAATGTGTTTACATCTAAAGTGTGACGTTACAAAAATCATTGAATATACATGTCACAATAAAGTTAACTGACTTTCAAGTTCAAAATGGTTCAAATGGTTGTGGACGGAATAGAAGAAGCTTTCGCTTAAAAGGCTTCCGTGTCTAGTAGTAGGGGATCACCAATACCTCCAGGCAAGAACCTAGGTAAATTAACGATAAAAGAGAAAAAAATGAATTGGTAAATCATAGTAAGATACTATCCTTAGTCCTTAAGAATAAATCAAGTCGCCTCTTAAAGGACTCCTGGGAAGTTGCTTGGACTAGCTCAGCTGGCAGCGAATTCCAGAATTTGACAACTCTTAAGGAGTAGTAGTTGTGTCTGCAGTCCGTTCTACTACGTTGTATCTCTAATTTCTGGGTGTTACCCCTTAGGTTAGTGTTGGGACTAAGCTTAAGTAGGTGTTTAAGAGGATGTCCAGGAGTGTTAAGGATACTGTAAGCCATTAGAAGGTCACCTCTAAGACGCCTATACTCTAATGGGTAAAGGTCGAATGATTGGAGGCGCTCATCGTAAGGTTTAAATTTGAGTCCCCGAACTGGTTTCGTGGCTCGCCGTTGGATACGCTCCAGAGTGTCCCTTTCCTTTTGGAGTGTAGGAGAAAATACTATGTTTCGTACTCTAAATGGGGACGAATGGAACTATTGAAGATTATGTGAAAAGTTCTCCCGTCAAACTGACCTAAAATGAGCTTCAATGTTACCTGTGCCAGGTTTGCTCGAAAGGCATTTCTGTCACAGTTGGCGTAAGACTTCAAGTCGACTAGGGATACTACTAGAGAGGAGTTTCCTAAGTTGTAACTGTTATCTGCGACGTGTCGCAGATGGACTACTTTACGCTTTGAGGTGTTAAAGGTAAGTCCGTTATTGTCTGCCCAACTTTGAAGTCGAGTCAGATCCTCATGAATTGCCTGTATGTCGTCTTGGTTGCGTATCTTTCTCCAAAATTTTACGTCATCGGCAAAGAGCAGTATGTCTGACGTTACCTGTTGAGGAGGATCATTTATATAAATCAGGAAGAGGAGAGGTCCTAGTACTAAGCCCTGAGGGACCCAACTAGGACATTCCATAGCCTTTGAGAAATTAAAGTTTACTCTGACCTTAAAATGTCGATTTGTCAGATATGAACTAAACCAGTCAATTAAAGGAGGTTTGATACCCAATTGTTTGAGCTTGTTAATACGACAGATGTGGTTAACCCTATCAAAAGTGTGGTGGCATTGGGCCCTACCACGAGACTATATGAGAAATAGACATTAAACATTTAACGCGGAGGAATACAGAAGAATGGAGAAGGAGGGGAGAATAAAATTGAATTAGTCCGAGTTGATCGGATGGCATGGCTCGGCCTTGCAGGCGTGGTCCCTGCTGAATGTTATCTTATATCTTTTATTCATATTAAATATATTGTTCCATATCTAGCCTAAGCTTGTTCTCCATCACGTATTGGTAATTGTTACGATGCGATGAGTTGTGACTTCTACGTGAGATCTTATAGGTTAGGCAGTTGCATCATGACAAATCTACAATTTTAGGATTAGGTCTATTATTAGAGCAGTGCTAATATCATAGTAGACCGTAATTCTACAAAAGATTTAGAGAAATCAAGGTAAATCATGTCCACCTTCCCCTTGCGATCAACGATGCTTGTCCATCTGTCCTCCGCGGTCAGGAGGTTCGTCATACAGGAGTTACCCTTCTTGAAACCATGCTGTTGGAGTGAGAAGAAATTTAAGGACAGCAGATTGTCGTGTATACCATCGTATACCAGGGACTCCACGATCTTTGAAGGTATAGAGGGAAGAGCCACCGTTCGGTAACTTGAAAATTCGCTGCGTCGACCTCCCTTGAAGATTGGTGTGATATGAGCCAGCCTTCAAATATACGGTAGTTTGCCTTGACTTAGCGAGTGTGAGAACATCACGCTAAGCGGTGTTGGCAGTATTGAAGCTGCTTCCCTCAGTATAGCAGAGTGGACCATATCTGGACCAAGAGAATTGTCTGTTCTTAGGTGTTGTAGTTTAAGGAACATCAAGTCAGCGCTCAGTTTCACTACGGAGAGTCCTGTGCAGTTGCAGATAGAGCCGTCATCCGTATAGTTAATGTGGGACGGTTGAAATGTCCGGGAGTATTGCTCAGCCAGAAGGTTAGCGGCGTCACCGTTATTGTCGGTCGGGCCGTTAGGACCTAGCAGTTGAGAAACTCCAGTTTTGGCTTAACGAAGAGAGGCTGCGTAATGGAATAAGCTTTTCGGATTGGAAATAAATTTATCCAAAAGCTTTAACTGGTACTGGAGCCTGTCTTCGCTTATAGCCTTCGTACGTATATTCCTTATATGTTTGTATTGCCTGTACTCGCCATTGTTGTTGGTTCGTTTGTATTCTACCAAACAGTGCCTTTTACGGCTTAGCAACGAAGAGTGCGGTTTTTGATGATTTTAGGTTGCATGTGACTTTTGGGGACCGTTTGAGGGACTGACTGCTTTGTAGTACATAAGAGCGTGTGTAATAGAAAGTTCCAATGAGCGTCCACATCAAGTTGAGGGTGAACATCCCAATGCACCTGTCGTAGATAGTCCTGTAGAGCTGACGCATTCAACCGTTTGAAATTTCAGTGCCTGTTGTTGTTGGAATATCTTAGCTCAGTTTTGCTGAGGAAACTGGAGGCTATAACGGCGTGATCGCTCTTCCCCAGGAGAGCCAGAATTGAGAGGTTGTCGACTAGAAATTCTTGATTTGTAAAAACACAGTCTAAGCGCGACGGTGTCTGACTGTTCATCGAACGAGTAGCCAACTTCACATTTTCGTGTAGTCCCAAGTCGTCAATGAGGTTGAAGAATCAAGCTTCGATTGAATTTTCACCTCCAGTATACGTATGTTCCGTGAAGTTGACTCTAGGGAGATTGAAGTCCCTTAGAATCAGGATATGAGTGAAGCCGAGATGCGTAGAGCGGGATAGTCCTTCCAGCATGCGACTGTCATATTCGATGTCGTCAGTGGGCTTCCTATATATGGCTCCGACTAGGCACCTCGAAGTAGTGGACCATCTCATAGAGCACCATATGGATTCCTCAAGATTGTCAAACTTATGGTTGTGAACTTGGTGTACCTCCAAGCCAGATAGTATGTATAGGGCTACTCCACCCCCAATTCCTGTTTTTCTGTCATTGCGAAACAGAGACATCCCAGGTATTGCTAGCTCCTGGTCCGAATACTGAGGAGATATCCAAGTTTCAGATATTCTTATCAGATGAACCTTATTAGCGTTGCTAGGTTCGCTTAGTTCATCCATTTTATTTGCTAGACTCGCGGCGTTCATGTATAAGCAGTTAATGCTTTCAATTTGAAACGCGTGAGCTTCTTCCTGTTTGTCTGTGAGAGCCTTACGTGAGTGGACAGGTAACTCACCTATACAAGTGTTGTCGAATTGGTAGGCCCTGTCCTTTACACGTTTTTTTCTATCTTGAAGACAGTCCACAAGTGGAATGGTCGGCTCCAGCTTGCCTTTGTGCTTGATCCTGGCATCGTATGGCCTGTCCGGGTTCATGTGGATCCCAGTTGGCAACCGACGTCTGTTGACACGAAATGCTTCCAGAGTTGCAGCCGCCATATGGGAGGATGGAAAAGTTATCCTCATTAGTCGGGGTCTAGGATCCCCGTCCTTCTTGGCTAGTCTCATCACATGCTGAGTCAGTATGTCTTTAAGCCTCAAGGACTGTTTGTTGAATTTCCATTCCCGAATATCAGAGTTTGCTTGAGTAGGGTCCATGTTGTCCGGTACACCTTGCACGATGATATTTCTTCCGCGGAAAAACTTCTCTCGAGAATCTTCAGGGACGTTCCGGATGAGATTGCAATCAGAGTACGGTATGTCGGGCAGTATTCTGACGTTCCCATCGGATTTCAGTGATTAAAGAGAATTCAGTATGTCTAAAACTGGTTTCTGAAAAACTATAGAGGGACCCGGAAGGTAAGGATTAGATCAGACCTTGAACAGGTTTTTATCAAACAACGCTGCTAGTACTATTACACACATGATTCATCCTAGCCTCCGAACAGACTTTAATAATTCAGAGAGCATGTGAAACATACCTATTCAAAATTCGTTCCATTATTTAGCTTGTTATGTTCTATTATTCACCGGAGCGAACTAAGTCAATAATATATATGATGGTTGTCACGATGCATGTTTTGTTAAGTCAATGGAGCGCAAAAGTTTCAAATCAGTTTTTCCTAAATTCACATTAGCCACCAGCTGTGTGGACTCTGTAAAACAGGTACCAAATTGCTACAATCGATTTTGAAAAACAATAATATTGAGTGAAAACGGTTCAATCACCGTCAACGAATGATTTAAATTACTTAGAGACAATTTCATCGAGTCTGTCAGTTGACTTATAACTGTGGCAAACAAAACCTCGACGGCCTTCCTTCTAGTCAAAGCCTTTCTTTCTTAAGATGGATCCGGAATGAGTATTGAGCCTTGGATTAATGGCGTTTTCCCCATGATAACGAGAAACATAGAAAATGGCTAAGGGCTAGATACTGGATATGATACTTTCAGGTTTCAGGGGTACCAAAACATAAATCATATCTTTATGTAGTTAAGATAAATCTCTTTTCCCCCAAGAATAGACTTCAAAGAACGAAAATGAGCTACTTTCTGCCTACCAAAGTTTGAAGTTTGTCTAGGTCACGACCTATCCAACCATGCGGGATTTCGACCGGGCGCCATTTCGTTTGTTGCAATGCAGTTTACAACGTTGATATTTCTGATTCAACTATGGATATTTGTTTCTAGTCATGGTCATGATCATGTTCATAGTCATGAACCACCCCACTATAAATATTCTAAGGAGGCTAATATTGGGTAATTGAGTCTTTTGTTTGGGTTTTATTATAAACTTTATTCGGTGTTTGAACGAGTAATTATCCACTTGTTTGTATACGATATTTCCGAAGTTTTTACCTAACTGGTCTTTACAAAGTTATCTTTATACTTTCGAATTAGTAGGCAGTGAAGATGATTTCATTCTCATTACAAATGGACATTGATAAAGTAGACGTTTTCGCATGCTTCGTTTCAGTACTCCAGGAAGATATTAAAGTGAGCGAAGATCAAATTAAAAGATGGAAATAATCTGAGTTAGTTCATGCCACTGTATCGTACTTATAAATTGATAGTGATTATTTCTAATTAGTTACGATGACTCGGTCTATCTACATAAGAAACAAATTCATGAATGTGACTAATTATAAGAAACTGAGCATAAGATCGGTAGTATAAAGATCATGATTAAAGGTTGTCAATCATTCAGTCTTAAACCTCAAGGCACGTTTAACGGTTATTCACTGAATATACTTTTGCATACCAATTCTTTTATACATTGTAATAGTAACATTCAGTAAAACCAATGAGAAAGAAGTGTAGTCGGTGCATTGATAGCTATTTGTTAATAATGGAGTGTATACCAGGTTTCTCGTTCCTTATCACACTGTAGGAGGACAAAATGCACCAGACAGCTGTATTCCTTCGTATCCCTAAGGGCAATATAGAGGTGAACATCTTATCAAACCTCATGCTGAAAATTTAGGGGTTTGGTATCGCTACCACAAGTTCCATATTGATAATAAGCAAGTGTGACTGGTTTTGTGCCAGTATTATTTGTTTAAACGACATTTTAGAACTAATTAAAACCTGAGTTCGACATTTGTTACGTAATTATTACAAAAATGTCACAAAGTCTCAAGGCGCTCTCCGATGTCGAAATAAGATCTTTGGTAATTACTAGGTATCAAAAGATCATTTGTGTGACATTTCCTAAAGTCCTATGATCTGGAACATAGTGGCCAAGTTAATGTCCCCAACATAATAGACGTAAATGTAACTGGTCTGATATGAATATCATTATGATCCCATTAATTGCTATAAAGCGAACATGAAACTTGACCTGTGTACGCTAGATTAATTCGATTTTTAGTCGTTTTCAAGGTCATAGCCTAATAGTAAATAGGTTGAAGTAATTTTCAAGAGCTATGTATCATTTTCTTTAGTGTTTGGGAGTCTCATCTTTGATGCTGACATGACACATATGACTAAGTGGAACAGGTTCTCGGACCAAAATTTAACTTGGCATCAGGAATAAACAGAAATTTATGTGACACTGACATTGTTATGATGCATAAAGGAATCTAAGACTTGTTGACCATAAATTTTATTACTTATATAGTGAACGAAAACTCAGGAGAAGACGTTTAACGTCCCGGGTGCAGGATAGACATCAGACGTAGATGGCCCAGCACGTCGATAGAGCTACGATCAACGTGTCAGTGGGCTCGCCATTTTGACGGGAAGCGAGGCATGGACGAAGAAAGCGGCAGAGCGGTTAAAACAACTGCGAGAGCGACTTTTCAAAGTGTGGGGGGGGACAAGTGTGGTGTTTGCTACTCATGCGGACAGACATAAGTAGTGTGTAGCAGAAACTGGAAGTGTAATGTTTATCTGTAGAAGATTGAAGTAAAGAGAAGAGAAAGGAAAGCAACAGTCTGGCTAGCAGTAGAACGAGAGAATGATGAAGTGTGTGGACAACTGAAGGAAGATACGCAAATGATGCATTAAACTATGGTTCCTCATAGCCACTGAGTAATTTTACGTAGAACAGTAAATTGGTTTACCGTACCCGAGTTTTCGTTCACTACACTTACACCAAAGAATAGATATTAGCGTTCCAACTGTAGGCCAAGTGCACTACGACTTTACGCTAATGAAATTATTTTTAATTATATATTTACTTGTACTTCACGCACGATGTGGAACTGACAGTAGTCGTGTCGGAGCAATCTATACTAACAGAAGAACGTGCTTTGTACTTTTACGCATCTGTTTACATCACTTGTCTAAATTACAGAAATTGAATACAAACAAACATAAAAATTAGAATCTAATGTTCTATTTTTGTGAACACGAGCTAGTGGAATCTGTACATTAGTAGACTTGGTAATTTACGTGATATGGTGACATTTTTTGTGATTGAGATTTACAAATGAAGTGGATGCTTTTAGTGTTGAGTTCTGTGAGCTAGATTTAATTGTAGATCGTTCTGTAGAGGATCGTCGCCTTCTACCAAATGTAGGAATGACGTTTAATTTCATCCTGATGGCTTTGTTTGTAATTGATTATCTCTGTAAGTTTGGTTTTCTTCATTTGTCCACGTATTCTTGTTGATTGTCTTGTTCAGTTGACTTTTAACTATTTAAATGATTGATCTTTTTCGGATGAGCTGATAGGTCGAATCAGTGTCAGTATGTTTGTTGGTTGCTAAACAGTTTAATCGGCATATCACTAGGAATTCTAAGACATAGAATTTCTTCACTCTAAAATGTTGACACCTTTCCAATCGGATTCGTATTCGTGGTTATTCACGTGTATTTATATCACTGATCAAGTGCCGTTCCATTGGTATTCTGTATTTGTGTATGGGTAGATGAAGAGAGCATCCATTTTCTTAACTATATTTCTCACAGTTAGCATAATTTCTGTTGACCATGTTGTACTTATCTTCTTTCACCATTGTATCTTAAGATTCGCATTAAATGTAGTGAAGGGATTGCACTGATTTGTAGAAGACATTTATTTTAGAGTTCTTCAAAATCCTCTTAGTAATTTCTGAGATGTTTTTCACATCGAGCAGGACGATCCTTTTCCTGGTTCATGAGGTTAATTTTACTGTGTTAAGTCGATTCGACAGGCATCTTTTGACAGTCGCTGGGCGAACCACGCCTCGTATGAGACAAAATGAGTTTCTTCATTTTTTCGCGTAAATGTAGTACTGGGGTAGGTTTTGGCTCTTTTTAATAGTACTTGTACTCTGCTTGTTAATGTTGTAATTTAGTATTTTATCTGTGTGACTTAGCTTTCTGTGATCTGAGAATACACTCCTTGTATGCGGCTTTTGTTTTTCCCTAGGTATAAGGAAAATCACGTACGGGAAACACGTAAAGATTCTTCTGAGCAACTGTGGGTCGAAGTATTCGGAGCTGTTTTACTCATTAGTATCGCTCCTTTTATTATATTGTGCCTGATACCAGATTTGAACAAACACCGTGGCTTCCTCAAGGTCCTTCTTGCATTTGCAGCTGGTGGTTTACTGGGAGATGCATTTCTTCACTTAATTCCTCATGCACTGGAGAGTGGACATTCTAATCCTGACCATGCTCACGAGGAAAATAGAGATGAACATAGTCACAAGCGTCACTCCTACGTTGGACTTTATGTTGTTGGTGGAATTTTCGCGTTCTTGTGCGTCGAAAAATGTATCCGACTTTTTAGAAATGACCATTGTGGAGGGCATACTCATCATGCAGTGTCTGATGTTGACGGTGAAAATAAAGGAAAGAATAAGAAAAAAGGGGAAGATACCAAAAGTGGAGCTAAAACTAAACGTAAGCCATGCTTAAAATTACATATTAAGTCATCAGAGTTAAGGTATCTATTGTAACTATTTAAGTATCTGCATTACTTTCGAATAGAAAAGAGAATCACCATCTAACGTAAATAAATTTTTTAGTTGGAAATCGTATGAAGAAGCGAAACTTTCGCTTCTTATAAATTATCAATCATAATAATTAGCAGTAATTAGCAATAATTAACATTAAAGCGGATATGTAAATCATGATGCCTGACTAATCACATGTTCCTCAACTGAGTTGTTTCTGAAAAAAACTTTCAGCGATAGTTAATAGAGTAGTCTTAAAAATGTGTATTATTTCAAGGAAACCTGCTATAATTTCTTGTCATCAGTTATTTAAAGATGGAATTAAATTATGAAATATTTTCGATAATATACTGAATACTTATAGTTAGACTTTGTTGTATTAAAACACTTTAATCGTCGACTGAAGTGACATCATACAAAGTTTATAGTCTTCATTTTCATTCTTTTTTAACAGCTACAGACTTCAAAGTTTCTGGATATCTTAACTTGGCAGCAGATTTTACGCACAATTTTACTGATGGGTTAGCTATTGGTAAGTTTTATTTATGTCACTTTTTTACATTGTAATTGATGTTCCATTAAACCACATATTTATTTTGGTATTTCGGAACTATTTACATCTGGTGAGCCAAGACTATTTTTTTAGTAATGTATCTGAGTATAGCTGTTGATGTATTGCTGACTATAGAGTCTCTTTCATTTGCCACAAACCAGCGAGATGTCCTCCTGCCTATCATTGGTAGGTAAGTTTACTGTACAATACTTGTCTGTTTAACGTACTCTATGTAACTATTATTTAATCATATGCGTATGGTAGAATCATCAAGTGAGTTATACAGAAGTCAGGTATCACATATTAACATTAAGTTAGGGGCGGCCAAACCAAAACGTGGCATCAGTGCTTGAAGTCACTAACTTCTGGTCTGAGCCATGTTGGGAGATTCAGACTGCCTGGTTGGGGTCCGCGTGACTATCGTAACCAATGGTTGGAGACTCTTGGTGACATGGCTCAGAATCGATCACAATGGCGTCGGTGTATACACTCTCTGTCTTCCTTAAATTAAGAGATTAAAATCGCTTCATATCTGTCTACGAACTAATTCTTTCTTCCTTTACTATCTCCTTATACACAATCTTTCTTCTATATATTACCACCACTGAATTAACTACTCCTATGAATCCGGTGTTCATCTTGTTGTGCTAATGCGGTATGGCAACTTGGACCGATGCATATATGTGCCTGTTCCTACGTTGTAGCTGACCGACTGACTGATAAAGATAGTCAAACGTATTCAGCTGGAAGTCAACGAAAATGAAGTAGTGTCTCAAAATATTATACCAGAAAAATAATAGAGGTGACCTAATCAAAAAGTTACATCATCCCAAGCTGTTGATCTGTGTCGTGTCGGTAGGTGCTCGTTTCCTAGTTAAGTTCTGCGTGTTAATTGTAATCAGTGATTCGAGACGTTGGGTGACTGAGTTTAAAATCAGCCACACTAACGGAGATGCGTTTGTTATGGATTTTCCCCTAAATTAAACTCGTTAAATTAACTCGTTCACCAGTTGCTTGAGTATGAGCCACATTCTAAATGTGAGGGCCAATTATGCTTCCCGGTTGACCAAGCCAGAGTAGGTGGAGTGGTGTTAGAACCAGGGACTTAATGGCTGAAAATTGAATACCTTAACCACTAGAGCATTACTTCTCTAATAGAAAGTATTAATATGGATTCATTCGTTTTATCCCCTTATTTGTCCTTTTCTAACTACGTTTTGCTAGGTTTTCACTATAATTGCTACCAGTATTGTTTCAACTCTCCTTGCTTTCTACTCAGTGCTCATGCGAAATGTAACAACTTGAACATATGTATATTCTTGGCAGGGTTTATGTTGTTTTGCAGTTGTGATAATAGTACAATGTGTTACCCATGTATTGGCGATAAATTGTAGTGACGGGAAGAAAAACTGTTTAGTAGCCAGTAAGGATTATCAAGGTAATTCGTTAAGGGGAGACTATTGGGATATCCTCATATATGTCTTACATTTGGACAATATTTATTGCCTGTTTTTCTGAACAGTTAGTCCCATTTATGAATTTGGATATGTCGTGAGAAGGCGGAGGTTATCAGAATTATGTGATATATTTGCGCAATACATTTCGAACAATCTGATCACACATATACTTGTTAAAACATTATACATTAGAAAACAGGTCTATTATACAAATTAAAAGGTAAGTGGAAACAAAGGTAATAATAAAGTACATAAAAACAATGCGAAAACCATGCTGTATAATAAATCAGTATCACCAGGGTAGGTTAAGGTTAAGAACGAGTTGTTTTTGAACACATGAAGGGGGTCTGAGTTTTCGTATATATAAGGCTTCAACAAACCTTAGTATACGCTCTTGAGAACGTTTTACTAAACTAAAAAGGCTGAATTGATATAAACCTTATGACTGGTCTCAACCAAGTGTTTCTCAATGGAGGAAGATATTTGTCTACTCTGTGATCGTATTTGTCCATTGAAATTCAATTGTTTTTGTTGCCATTTAGTTATGTGTTCAGCCACTTACTTGAAGCTCACAATTGCTCCTCCCTGAGTACGTGTTTCCTCACATACATCTAAATTGATAGACCTTTTTTTGTTACCTTGCTTCCAACTTATTGACTTCAAAACTATTGACATTCAAATTTTTGAATATCACATATTTTCATTGTGATTTGGTGTTTTCTTTGTTAACTATTGTTGGCATATTTCACCGAAAGGAACTGCAGCTTCATATTAGTTCTTATAAATTTACAAAGCCGTTGGTTATATTTATCACTACTTACACTTTACAATCTTGTTAAATATTTTCTTTAGGCTTCGCCGTTTGAAAGATCCTTCAGTTCAGAATTAAGTGCTTGTACCGAATTAAAATATTTCTTTCTGTACATTTTTAGGTGGATCCTTTCTGGTTAGTAGGAATGTTGGTTTTCTGACCACTTTTACAGTTCTGTTACATGAACTTCCGCATGAGATTGGAGACTATGCAATACTTATACAATCCGGATTTTCTTCACGTAAAGTAAGTTTTAGTAAAGCGTTATTGTGATGTGGAATTGTATACACTCACTTTCGTTATCGGATTTAAATTGAAAAGTAGTGGCGAATTGATCGAAACTGTGTGCTTTGAAATATATTTCATGTGGTATTCGTCATTTGACTAGACTTGAGTTAATGAGTTTGGCTTTCAACCACTCAGTCTCTAGTTCAAACCACTCTCCATCTACTTCGACTTATGCGACTGGGTGTCATTACTAGCCCTCACAATTAGGGTGTAGTTTATACCCAAGTACCTGGCAAGTTAGTACGGAGACATTTCTTGCTTGTTATAAACTGACATAGAAACTCGTTATGCTGATTCTTGTAAGTTGGGTAATAAAAACACCAGTTACACCGGTTGTTGCTCTTACTAATTTTACTAAACGTTTTGCGGTTCAATGATGTGGGTATTACAGGAAGTTATGTGCTATAAAGTTGGTGAATTTAAATCTTTCATTTGGAGGTGTGAAAATTGGCATCGCCTTACACACCGACGACTGGAAGGCAGGTACTTACAAAAGTTACATTCACCATGTTTTGATCCACAAAAACAATTTCGTCAACCCTGGCACTAGAATGCACACTATTTATTTATTTATTTATTTGAACACATAAATATTGGTACAGGGGGGCACCAAATATATATGCGCCACACTAATACCAGTCATTTCAATGTTAGTCGGAGAGAAACGAATATTTTCTATAAGCAGATAGTTCATCATAGTTTTCGATGCTCCACTGCCTTGTGGGTCAGACGTTCAGGTCGAAGGCTCGGGGTGTGGCCCCCTAAGAAAACCACCTGCTTCGGTTTGGGCACCCGAGCAGTATCACAGCCCTCACACAAATCAATTGAGATTTGTGTGGCGCATATGTATTTGGTGCCTTCCTGTACCTATACTTATGTGTTAAAATAAATAAATAATAATAATCATCATAGTTTTAGTGTGTGGGCTGAGATACTGCCCGGGTGCCCAAACCGAAGCAGGTGGTTTTCCTAGGGGGCCATACCCCGAGCCTTTGACCTAAAGGTCTAGTCCACAAGGCAGTGGAGCATCGTGAGGAGATGCAGTCCCATGGAAGCCGGTGACCAAAAGTTGGTTCATACGCCATTTGTTCCTTCAGGATGCTGGAGCCCATGTGCACCATAGAATTGGGATCTGGTTATAGCGCCGGACGTTCGCTTTTCGTCCTCTCATTTTCGTAAACAACAGTAATGCCACGAGAAGGCAGTGAGTAGGACTTCCCTGACAGAGGCTGTATACGCGTGACCGTGTGAGAGTATTTCGAGAGGGAGGGCGAACCCCCCCCCCGCTCTCGGCCATACCAGGGCATTTGGGGGCAGAATGCACACATGTAGTATGGAAGCGATTTGGACAAAACTCAAAGAATTCCTCGAAACTTATCATGACTCCAGAGCTCAATTGTTGTCGAGCCACATCGGGAAATTTCTATACCACATGTATTGTGATTCCAGAACATCAGAACCTAGTTGTAATCTTTAGAGGTTTTCTAACCATATTAGAGCCATGTATCCATTACAGTTCTTTCAATTTTCTATCATGTATAACTGCTCTATATCACCGGTTATCTGACTGGCTGAAATTTCTCAAGGTCATTTAAGGTTTACTTAAACATCTCATCACATATTTGTTTAGGCATTCGGCTCGTAATTATCTGGTTGCTAGTTGAAATCTGATCCTACCAAAAGCGTAGCACACACTGTGGTTGGTGAGTTGTTTTTGGTCCGATCAACGTCATGCCTTCTGTTAAAAATTTATACATATCACAAAAAATATTTTGTTTCACCAATAAAAAACCATGCTCCAAGATCATTGTAAACACTTACTTTAGGGGTATGTAAACCCATACGCCTTTGTAAAACGAAAATGCTTTCATAGTCCGATTGAATTTCAGACACATAGGGAGTTGGTTTTGCCTTAGATAAACTGAGTATGCTAAATAATGTAAAATGTAATTCAGTAGTGTAGTACAAGGTGTCAATAGTTTGTGGCAACACAAAGCGACGCAAATAACTAACTAATTGATTAGTCTGTGAGTCATATTTGTTATCTGAATCCCACTAGTATCTGATTGATTGTGTAAATTTTGGGAGGAGTAAAATGTAACACATGCTTATCATTCTGATATGTAACTATGGTAATACCTAAAGTAATACACCTGTTTATGATCACCTATAACATAATTTAGGATTGCACAAGGCAGTAGGTATCTGGTCTCATTAGTGCGATGGCGTTTGAAACGAAAAGTACTAACTCCGAGTCTCGGAGTAAACATCGACTTTGGGATGCAACTACATTTGGCCGACGAGTCCCAAATAAGATGAAACGCGCGACCTGGATTTCACTGCCAGTCACTATACATCTTTGCTTATAATTTAGAAGAACTTCTTTCCGAATTTATTTTAGTTCTTGAATTTTAGAAGAGCTTTTTTATTAAAATCATCTAATTAATTCTTATGCTATTATTACTATTAATGGCTTTATTCAATATTATATTTTGGTACAATATTGAATTCTCAGCACAAACATCCTCACTTTTAAAATGGATTTTATTCGTTACCTATTATCTAGGCTATGCTTCTTCAATTGATCACTGCTGTTGGTGCACTTCTGGGTTCATCTGTCAGCTTACTTGCTGCACGTGTTAGTATTGGTCCTATCGTTTTTGATGCTGATATACTACCAGTTGTAACAGATGATGTTGTTATTGGTTGCATTTTACCATTTACTGCCGGTGGTTTTATCTACATAGCTATGACTTCTGTGCTACCTGACCTGTTGGCAACTAATAATAATACAGGTACTACTAATACACCAAAAACACGAAACAGTGGATTAAAATCATTCGTCCAAAGTTTACTTGAAATAATTTCTTTAATTAGCGGCGTTGCAATGATGGCTGCTATCGGAACACTGGAATAAAATGTAAACAAGTATAGTTTGTGTCTAGAGAAAAGAAAAGCAAGGTTGATATGACAAATGTAGTATAGTTTATCTTTCTGTTTGTGCATACTGGTACTTTTTGCTGCAATCTAGTCCTCATATCCTGTTTCTTTTTCGTTTGTTTGTTCATACTCATAAAATCTACTTTTAAGTGAAGTAATGAATTCAAAAAAGCATTTTCAGAGTACAAACGTAACTATCAGAGTGCTATTTGAACAAAAACTACAATTCATTTGCTCTCATACTTTCTATCTCCCTTTGCATACTTTTTTCTTTATTATTAATTGTGTTTTTTTCCAGTTAAATTTGATCTTGTTTCAATAATTTTCATTTTATCATTATTTAGTAATACTTTCATTGTACTGTTTATTGTTGAAAATTGATTAATATTTGTATAGTTTTCTTATATTTTCATCTTGTTGGTTGAATGGTTCTAAATGATTCTTTATCTTTCATATTGTAATCGTTCTTATCATAGAACCTAATTATTCAAAAAAGAAACTTTTGAAGTTAACCAAAAATTTACATTTCTATAATCGATTTTCTTCTTATTATTTGGTATGGTATGTTTGTATTTTGTATTTAATAACAATCGAAAGCAGTTTATTACGTAATCACAATTGTACATCGATCAGAATTTCCCTTTTGTGTTGGTGTTTTTTTTATTATTAATAACTTTGTATTAGTTTGTTCATTTCATTTGTTTTTTCTTCACCGGTATGTTTGACTTATTATTTTGGTAAAACAAATTTTTTACTAACTATTGCGGTTGGATGGAGGAAAGGTTATTGTTCAATATAGTACATAATTGCTTTATTTATTAATTAATTTCAAACATTGGGGAACTTAGTTGGCCTGAACCGGCAGTTATGAATTTCATAGTTTGGTGGTGTGTTTTGATTATATAACTCCAAAGTTTCTTTCACTGGGTATCAATGTTGGTGATGTGTGGGTATGAAATAACGGCTTATCGACTTTCAATCGGACATTCATCATAATCACAGGTCTGTATCGTATTGCTAGTTAATCAAAAAGAAATATCGACCCTAAGTGTCATACCTCACCTTACTCCACGGGTTTCCGTCTCCGGCGTTAAGGCTTTTGAAGTGCGGAGCTAAAACATCAAGAACTTCCCATACAAAAGCCGTGTGCGACCGGTCTGAAACAGTTGTCCCTTGGGCTCTGCAGTCACGCTTCCAGGCTGCTAAGACTACTACTAATTCAGATTCCTTTTTAGGTCCCAAAAGAAAAAGTATTTTTCTGCGATGTCAGCAACCGGGATATACCAACCAGTGTCATATCTTTCAGCACCAGAGATCATCTTGTTGACGATCGAGTCCTCCCTCACTTCTTAATAATTCTGCCATCCTCAAGAATAGCCCTTCTCATTTACCTTTATCTTCATGCACCACCAATGCTGGTGCTTTGAGTTCACGAAGTGTTATACCTGTTCTCCTGAAACCACGCTCTAAACTACATGTTAGGGCTTTTAATGTTCGAACCTTGCGTCGGATAGGAAAACAGTCTTCTCTAGCTAGAACTTTAGAATCTCACAAGTTGAATGTGTGCTTCGTCACTGTAACCCATATACAGGGTTCAATTATGGTCGTTCATTTATCTTTTTCAACTTGTTCTTCGTGTATCTGGAGACCCCACTGCTACTTCCCATAGCCTCACTAGTGTAAGTGAAGCACTTATTTCAAAATCTGGATTCCAATAATAGTTGCTTGTGCTCTGCCTGACTAAACGGACGGTAAGAACTTGAAAAGATAGGGACACGCCATTGCCTTTTCGTTATCTCTGCCTGCGCCCCTACTGATTGCAGCTGGGATGATGTATAAGAAAGGACAGGGATCCTCTTGGTGATAATCACGATCATTTTTCCAACATGGTATCTAAAATATTAGTCTCAATTATATTTCGACGTCTAACTAGAAGTCGTTAAGAGCGAACACGAGAAAACTAGGCTGGTTTCATACCTGGACTTGGATGTATAGGCCGAATAATCACCCTTTGGCAGATTCTGGAACATAGTCACACTTCTCGACGTTCTGCCATAGTCGCATTCAACTCTGTTGATCATGAGTTTCTGTGGCTGTCTCATTGAGAGGTGTACCAAATAAAAAAATAATCTTATTCAGGCTCTCTACTCGATCACTTCCGGACGAATCAGAGCTTATAGCGAACTGTCGTCGGAACTGGTTACTTCAAGTGGTTCTCATCACGGTTGTCTGCTGCTTTCGCCTTTATTTAACTTGGATATGGACGTACTTTTAGAGATCATAAATTCATCGTCTGACTTTTTACTAGTTGATCTTCTACCGGAGGATTCACTTGTTGACTCAGAATATATAGGTGATATAGTTTTGTGTTATGAAGACGCCGATAAAATTCAATCTTCTGACCACCTTAAGGAACAATGAAAGCATGTTTGTGATGCGTTTCTCTTCCTCCAAAGGTAAAATGTTACTTCAGGATTGGCTTGGATCATTGCCTGAATTAGTGATAGGGAGTAAAGTAGTTGGACTCACCAACCACTTCACTTATGTTGGGTGTCTAATCATTACTGATTGTCTGGTGCCTGACAAAATCTGGACGCGGATTCAGAAGGCTCGAATGGCTTTTGTCAGCTTGTGTCACTTGTGGCGTGGGGAAGATGTTCGTCTGTCAATCAAAGGATAAGTTTACTGCGCAACAATTCGCTCCGTTTTACTTTACGAATGTGAAACGGCCATTAAAAGTAGGGGATATTCATAAGTTACTGGTATTCGATCATCGGTCTCTACGAAGCATTTATCATGTATTTTGGGACCACAAAGTAAGCAATACCTGGGTTAGGGATAGAGTACTTAGTAAAGATGGGTAGTCAGTAGATGAGATAGTAAATCATCAACTGAAGTGGCTGCGACATGTTTTACGTATTCCCGCTCACCACCTACCTCGACGTGTGATGTTTTCTAGTGCAGGAACAGGCTGGACAAAAGCTAGGGGTGGCTAAACATGAACATGGTATCAGTCCATGAAGTCACTGACAAGTGGATTTAGTCATGTTAACAGTTACAGACTACCTGGTTGGGGTCTGCATGATTATCGTAACTGGTGGTTAGAGACTTGGAATGACATGGCTCAAAATCGTTAGCAATGGCGCAGGTGCATTTATTCTTCGTGTTCCCCCAAATCCTGGGGTTCTAAATTCCTCATAACGTTTTTTTCTTTTATTCCGCTAGTTTGTATTTTATTTTTGAGTAGTATCTTGGATGCCAAATCTTTCCTATTACTGTTAATACCTATACTATTCTGGGATTTCGGCCTGATAACTTCATCTCTCTATGCTAATAGCGTATGGCGACTTGAACCACTGAACATACGTACCAGGTTATACGTTGTGACTGATTGACTGAATGTATTTAATTTGATCAGGTTAGAACAAACTTAGTTGAATCATATTTTTATTAGATTATTTATTTTAACACATAGGTATTGGTACAAGGTGGCACCAAATACATATGCGCCACACGAATCTCAATTGATTTGTGTGAGGGCTGTGATACTGCTCGGGTGCCCAAACCGAAGCAGGTGGTTTTTTTAGGGGGCAACTCCCCTAGCCTTCGACCTGAACGTCTGAACCACAAGGCAGTGGAGCATTGTAAGGAGATGCAGTCCCATGGAAGCCGGTGACCAAAAGTTGGTTCATACGCCATTTGTTCCTTCAGGATGCTGGAGCCCATGTGCACCATAGAATTGGGATCTGGTTATAGCGCCGGACGTTCGCTTTTCGTCCTCTCATTTTCGTAAACAACAGTAATGCCACGAGAAGGCAGTGAGTAGGACTTCCCTGACAGAGGCTATATACGCGTGGCCATGTGAGAGCATTTCAAGAGGGAGAGCGGACTCTCCCCACTCTCGACCGTACCAGGGCTTTACAGGCTATTTTTATTAGTAAAGCAATTGTATACTGAGTGTCCTTGATTAGTTGTGTGTGTTTCATTTTATTGCATTCCATCTTTCTACCTTCTTGTTAGTCAGTCATATTGAGTCAAATATGAGGTCGTTGTTTATTAAACATGCCCTCATATCTTATTGGCATGATGATTAAAGTAGATTTGCAAAACTATCGTTGACTTTATGAAAATATCAATATGTTGAATAAAGAAACAGAAATATTATTCACGAAATGTCAAAACAAATGGTTGAGTTTAATCAGTCAATATGATCATTCTAACGTTCACTATTGAGATTGAATTCAAAAGAAACTTGTGGATTGTCAGAGATAAAACAAATTAAAAATATCTTATTGATTAATAACTAACACTACAGTAGTTATGACTACCTTTAACGTTGAGAATGTAAACTGTACACACCGTTGTAGAAATATTTGTAGAGACTAAACTATAAGAAAACGCGGTAGATGAACAGTTGTATCAGGAATTTTCTGGGGCCATTTGAAAACATGTAATGGTAGATATTTTGGATAGAAATACCATAAAGTTTGTAAAACAAGATGTTGATAACCATCGTTCATATGTGTCGGGGATATTGAATCCTTAAATTCTATATTTAAAAAGTAAATTACTTTTAAAATCCATTAAATAATTTGAAGCAAATTTGATTCACTGTTTGTCAGTATGTTTTTATTTGAATCGATTTACTTAGGATGAGATTAGTTTAGTTTATATTCAGTTCATCTTAATTATATTCATAGGTGCATTGTTGTTTTGTGTTTAAGTAATGATGGCTCAATTTGACAAACTTTGTAATTATTAGTAATCGAATCTAACCGACGTATAACTGAATTAACTTTAATGTAATTCAATCTCCTTCTTTTACTGTATTTCTCTTCATTTAATCGAGTGGAAAATTATCATTGAAATGTTACCTGTTAGTCATCCGTTTTATCTAATTCATATAAACCTCATTCCATAATAGAAGAATCACGCAGTTGTTTTTCATGAGAACTGAATTTATAATTCAAAATAACATGCTTATAGGATAGATTGGTTATTTGTGTTCGTCTATCTGATACAGTAGATTACAAAACTATATTTACCACTGAATATTATCATATAGAACAATAAGATCGTAGAATATAATAAAAATCCCAGAATAATTTGTTATAATTTGAAATATTAGTATATAACACTTTCCTATAACTAATTTTGATTATGGTTAAGTTTGGTTAAACCCTTTTATTAATTTACCTAATAGATATTGTTATTGGAATAGTAACAATTCATCTATTTCTTTGTACTGTTACAATCACTAGATCACATGACAGACTAGCTAAAATGTTAATTGCTTAAATATCACTCAATGAATATATGTACTCAAATCCTATTATTAGTCCTTACTTTATTTTACTGCGCACTTATGCAATTTAACTATAAATTTACCTATGTAATTACTCGCATATACTTATTTACCGTTCCTCTTCAAATTTGCTTGATATACTTATAGTTTTGTAATTTGCACTATCCTCTAATGAACTGTAGTTGCTGTTTCTTATTGCCTTCTGATTTCAAATACTGTTGAAGTTTATGTACCAATGATTACATGGATGACCGAATAACAAAGTAAAGTCAATATAAGTAAATAATACATTTACTTGTTTAAAAACAAGTTATTTACAATTTTCAATACTTTTTTTATTATAATAACATTCTATCTTTTTCAATTTTAGTAACATTTGCATAATCACCACCGGCTTTTTCACGTTCTTCATTAAATTCTTTTGTGATTTTTTTAATTTCTAATAAATGTAATAAATTTTTCCATAAATTGACTTGTTTTAAACCAAATTTTTCATTTTCTAATAAACATTTCTGTTCTTGTTTTAATGTTTTGGTTAAAGCTTCTTGTTCAGCTATTTTACGTGTATAAATTTCTCTAGGAATAATAATGATAATAATAATAAAAAAAGAAAAAGATGAAGAAATAAGAACTGTCATAAACAGTAGATAGGTAGATGGGGGCTTTTTTCTCTCAAGAATTCAGAACATAGATGTTCTTTTCATACTTTTGTTTGTATTATGATCATCTAATGTTTTTATATGTTTCTGATTGAGATCATGAACCGATTGATGTTAGACCACCATTGGAAACCTGGAAGCAGTGGACAGTCGTTTCGTCCTATGGTGGGACTACTGAGCAGTACGTATCCACAATCCCGCTCGCGGGATTCGTATCCAGGGCCTTAAGCCTCGTAAGCGAACGCTTAATCTACTTGACCACTGAGTTGGCATCCAATGGTGTTAGTGTCTAACATCAACCAATCCACGAAATCGCGTGATCATCTTCCATTGTACTGGGGTAGATACCTGTCTCTAACCGACAAGGATTAGCTCCACTGGTCACGGCTTCTCACAATAACTCCAAGAATTCTCTCACGAAGCTAGTCACTAGTGAGCACATGTTAATTATTAATATAGGGGTTGTGGAGATCAATCGGTTCATAATCTCAATCTATAACGTAATAATCTCCACAACCCCTATACTGATAGTTATTTTTATGTTGTGACTCATTTTCAACTTGATTAGCTTCAAAGAAGCAGTCTGAGTAGAACTTCAAGTATTTTAATGTAAATTCAATGTAAATTTATCTTATCTACAGATGATATTTATTTAAAGTTCTTCTAGGTTTTCCATGGTGGTCTAGCTTCAATTAAATCATGATCTCAACTATTGAAATTACTATAATCTCCACGAAACCCCTTCTGATATTTTATGAAATTGATCGGATTATGTAACAAAGATTTTTACAATTCTAAAGCAGGTTTTAAAAACACAAGGATGAGTTATTTACCTGTAACTTTTTCTTTTCCCCACAGTTTCAGTTGTACTATCATTTTTATTAGATAATGAAGCAACATGACTACTGCCAGTTACATAACCACGTATTTCATCTTGTAAACGATTTTGTTGAATATGTAATAGTTCTAGATTGGCAGTTAAATAGTGAAATTTCGATTCTTCATTTTTTTCCGCTTCACGCATTGTACGTACTTCTTGTTCTAAACGAATAGATTGAGATTCTTGACTAGCTGTTAATGCATCATAAGCGGATTTTTTCTCAACATGTATTTGACCAAGTTCCTATGTGATTTATTAAGTAAATATTATTTAAGTTAGATTAATTTGTAATTATCATACTACAATACATAGTTATTTTACATTTCATGAAGGTAAAATTGAGTAATAATAACCACTAATATTTCAGAATCTTACTTTTCATTATTACATCCAACCTTATATATATATATATATATATATATATATATATATATATATATATATATATATATATATATATATAATAATCATTATTATTATTATTATCAGTTTTAATCCGTATTGTTTGTTTGACACATTCCATCACGTTTTCATCTTATCTAATTACCTGGAATTTAACCTTAAATAATGAAATGTATTCCATTAATCTATGGTTGTATACACATATCTAGCCTAAGTGAAGCCCATTAAGTTTCTTATTGTCATATATTTTATAGATAATGTCTAATTAGTCAGTCAGTTAGTTACAACGTAGGACCAGGCACATATATGCATCGGTTCAAGTTGCCACACCTCATTAGCACAAAAAGATGAACACCAAATTCATGGACGTAGTTACTTCAATGGTAGTAATATATAAAATATTGTATATATATATATATATACGTTTCGCTTATTACATAGAAAATGAGAATAGCATATCTGGTGTGACTAATTTATGGACGAGTCAATCAGAAGCGTTTGAAAGGTTTCAAGGTCACGGCGCCAACTTCAGTGCTTAATGTTAATGTTCGATCGGTTCATAGGGAATTTTGTACAAAACGTGATAATTGAGCGGCTATAATAAATAAAATGGCGAGAATATAATTTGTGGATAAATCAATCAGGTATAAGATAACAAATCTCGGATTTGAACACGAAAGCCGTTCATCCATTTGGCTAAATAGATTTCTGGCATTATGGCTGATGTCAGTTCATGATGAAAACTCCACATATAATTTCTAAGGCAAATTATGACAATTATTGCGAACTGGATAATAAAAGCACCAGTAACACTGGCTGCAGCCAGATACTACAATATATACGGATGATTGGAGAGCGTACAGACTCCTACATAGGCTTGGTTATGTGAATCGTGTCGTTATCAACAAGTGTCATTTTGTGTACTCAACAACTGGAGTGCACACAAATAATATTGAAGCAATATGGTAAGGGCTGAAAGAGTTTTTTTGACTTTATCATGGCTCCAGAGGCCGACTATTCCGTAGCCATATGGATGATTTTCGCTACTGCAAGCATTACGATTTTAGAACCTCTGAACCCCATTCTAGCCTTGACAAGTTTTTGAACCACATATAAGAAGTGTATCCACTTTATTTCTTTGGTTTTGTATAATATATTTTTACTTTATACTTACTGTTTTCTGATTGATTAATATTTCTCAAGATCCCTTGAGATTCGTTCAAAGGTCGTCCATAAGTATAGAGTACGATTAACTAGTGGATTTCAACGAGATCATTAGGACTGTCTAATAGAACTTAGACTAATAGTTAGTCATTATGAAGGCTTCTGTTGTGTCTCAGTTTAGACATTGAGGCTTGTTTCGGCTTATTTCAATGTTTGGTAGTACAATACTTCATTGTAAAGCGTGAATGAACATGTTTGGTAAATGTTCCAGCGAATTGAGTCAACGATTGTTTACAATCTTACCAAATAATTCTCCAATTCTGTATGGTATTCTACACCTAACTTCAGCATTACTGATTGACTACTATTACCATATGTGAGTGATGTTTTGTAGATGAATATGAAGGACAAATCATGTCGTTCAAAGTCAATTTTTATCACTTATAAAGTAATTTAGAGTCAACGTTTACGATATGCACTCTCCTGCGTCAAGCTGTTTTGAAAGTACTGTCACATCCAAGTACTAGAAAGTTTCAAATTTCTTTTTTTTCATTTTGAAGCCCCTTCTTTTACTTTAAACAGGATTGTGCGTTTCTCGTTTAATTTGTTGTAATTAATTTATCGAACTTTATTGATTATTTATGTCAATGTTTTGAAAAATTCAAGGGAATCGCATTATTATTTATACTTAGATTACTACTGAAATGTTAAGTTGTTGAAAGCTATTTGGAAGAATAACTAAATATGCGATATGTGCTAACTAGCACTCATCAATTAGGAATATTTGTTATCTTGAAAGAACCAAAGTACCTAGTGGGATCGGAACTTGCATTATCGATTGTTACAATCAATGCATTACCAATGAACTATCTAAACCTCAATAAACATGTAGGAATGGGATATGTGGGCTAATTGATTACGTCATGGTGACCAATATAATATTATCGAGTCTTTTGTAGTGACTAATTTTTTTTAAACTGGTTAAAATTTAGTCAGTAGTCGAATTGACCCAATATTGTATCATAAATATTTTGTGACAAGTGGTTAAAAGAAGTCAGGAAGGAACAATAAAATTAACTTTCATGCTAGATGACCATCAAAAACATTTTCATTTAAAGTATGGAACATTTCGTTCTAGTTATTTTTGTAAATATACAAACATTTATGAACAAATGCTTACAATTAGATGACAAGTGTTTTTTTAGTATAAATAAATACTTTTCGTCTCGTTCAGGATTAATTAACAACTAAATATTATAATGTTTGATGTTAGTTTATATCATGGTCTGAACTCAAGTATGGAACTCCTTAGCAGAATGCGTCTCCATCTGTGCCAGGGAACGGATTCGAGACGGGTGTTGATGAACATTTCATAAGTCACATTTTTAACACTAGTTAATTCGAGATGTAGTACATACGAATGAAATAACTATCAAAGACTTCTTGATTTCAAATGGTTGTTCGCATAAAGTCAGTCCAATATGTCAAATGCCATGAAATAAAACGATCTTCACTAACATGCTACTCTGATATACTACTTATTTGTTATTGTTTGTTCTCTAAAAAAATCTTAAATTTTCGAAGAATGTACATTTACTCAAACACAGTGAATAGACTACGTATTTGTTTAATCAATAAAATAATGACAATTTAGATGCTTTTTTTGTATGTATGCAGTGCACCAAATCGATTATTCCAAAAAAAAAACTTTCAAAATGAAAAATAGTTTTCTAGCCATGTGGGTGCACTCGAAATCGCTACGTTTTTAAAGTGCATGTAAAAAGTAATATGTTTTATGAGATCAGTTAAGTTGTACTTAGTGACATTTTATGATTACAGTTATATGTCAAATGAATTCAACATGAATCGTAGGAGAATATCAGTTGAATAAGTACTGTGAATCCTTACTTGCTTACACCTGTTACTCCGCGTGGAGGAGCATGGGATGATTACTAATATTCTTCATCCAACTTTGTCCTGGACAATCCTTTCCAGTTTTTTCTAGTTGCTATTCGTCCTTTTGATTTCTGATTCTAATTATCGACGCAGTGTGTGGTGATCTTCCTCTTTTCCGTTTCCCTTCAGAATTCCAAGTTAGGGATTGCATTGTGATGTAGTTTAACGACTTACATAATGTGTGTCCTATCCACTTCCAACGTCTTTTCCTAATTTCCTATTCAGTTATATTTTTTTGACGATTACTGTAATAATCCTTCAAGTTTCAGCTCCGTACAATAGGACTGTCTTGACGTTCGTATTGAAGATTCTGACTTTGATATTGGTTGACAGCTTTTTTCAGTTGCATATTTTGTTCAACTGTAAGAATGCTGTTCTTGCTTTGTCAGTCCTTGCCTTTACATCCGTATAAGGTCCTTCACGTTCATCGATGATGTTATCTAGATATGTGAAAGATTCCACATCTTCCAGAGTTTCTTCATCAAGTGTGATTGGGTTGGTGTTCTCCGTGTTGTACTTCAGGATGTTGCTTTTTCCTTTGTGTATGTTGAAGCCTACTGATGCAGAGGCTGTTGCTACACTAGTTGTCTACATCTGCATTTGTTGATGTGTATGGGATAGAAAAGTCAGGTCATCTGCGTAGTCCAAATCGTCTAGTTGCATCCAAGCTGTTCACTGTATTCAGTGCTTCCCTTCAGACGTGAATCCTGGTAAAACTAAAAAGCTGTTATGTTATTCATGAACTACCTTCTGATTTCAATAACTATTATACAGTGTCCAATAATATTAATCTGTAAGCCACTCATTTTGGTATAATCGACTTCTTGGAACAATAAATCGACTGAAATTACAGTTTTTCTTAAGTAGACCTTACTGATTCAGAATATTTCGATAATGCAATAAGAAGACAAAGGTTATCAGAATTATGTGATATATTTGTGTAATACATTTCGAACAAGGTGATCAGATATATAGAATTCAATAGTCTATCAAAACATGATGATCATCACTTCGTCATATTACTATAAGTGACATAATGATAATAATGAAGTTAACTTTAGTCATATATTTACGCAATGTTAAGAAAACGATTACATATTTCTTTGTAGGATACCTTACAACTTACATTTGCAAATCATTCTTTCAATTCACATATGAAAAAAGGTCTGTTAACGATTTTTATAAAGTAATCTTCACAGATCGACATAAGTTTACATGATCAATACAAACCTGAAAATACTGAGACAATTTTGATAAATTTAGACAATATGAACCAGCTGAGGAATGAATTGGAAGAATCATACAGAGTATAAAGGCGGATTCATGGAATATTTACAAATAAAGTATTCAATGTATAGTTCTCATATTTTACGAAGATATTTTGTAATTTTGTGTTAAACATAGTTTGGTTGTCTCTCATTTGAATGTTCGTGTATTACAGGAGTCTATATCTTCGTAGGCAACGCATCACATTTGAATGATTGGATCTGTATAGACTTATCAATTCTTAATGAATACCAACATTAAAATTTAAATAAACTCCAAAAAACTCTCAACTAAAATACTACAAGAATTATTAGTATGAATGAAATCACCTGAGCTCTTTGTCTTAAATGTCGAAGTTCTCGGATGACTGGAGCTAGTTGTGCACGTTTAGCATTGATTCGATTATTTAATTGTTGAATAATTTTTGACATCTCTTCTAATGTAGTACCTTCTTGTTCATTTGACAATGAAATTTCTTCAGAAATCTTGTATAAGTAAATAGACAAAAAAGTCAATGGAAATAAATGGTGAAAACTACAATAACAAAGTTGTTTTTTTGTAATTTGAAGAAATAATAGCTCGCTGTTCAGAATATATATTGAAAAAAACTATTTTGTAAGTTAAGATGGATAATGGCTAATAGTGGGACCCAGGACGTGGGTTTAAAGAACATCAACTTTGAGATGAAGGTACATTCAACTGACCAGTCCCAAATAGGACGAAACAAGCTTCCTGGATTCCATTGCTAGCAACTATCCATCTTTGCTAATAATGCTTGCGAATTAAGGAGATATGCAAAGTATGCACATATGCCAATAAGAAACAGTCCCAAACAACATTGGGAAGATTCAAGTAAACAATACCAAGTGTATTTTGTAAGTTATTGCTCAATTTCAATTATTATTCCTATAAACAAATCGGGTTCGAATAACTTACTTTAAATAAATTGAATTCAGGCTGAGAAACTAAATGAAGTTTATTACTTTTTTTTACAAAAATACACAACCCTTCCAAAATTTACAAGATATTTTGTTGTGAAAGATGGAAGAAAACACCTTAGTATTACAGTATCAACATTATGCGGAACTCAAACGACGGACTACAGTGAAAGGTCGTGCATGGAGGACAGTTGACAGATACATTCCAAGTAAGGACCGGTGTCAGATAAGGATGTCTACTCTCTCCCTTCCTCTTTCTTCTGGTGGTCGACTGGATTATGAAGACCTCGACATCTGAGGGAAGACACGGCATACAATGGACAGCTCAGGACCATTTATACGATTTGTACTTTGCAGATGACCTAGCCCTCCTATCGCATACATATGAACAAATGCAGATAAAGACAGCCAGCATAGCAGCAGTCTCTACATCAGTAGACCTCAACATACACAAGGGGAAAACCAAGGTCCTCAAATATAACACGGAGAACAGCAATCCAATCACACTTGATGGCGAAACTCTGGAAGGTGTAGAATCCTCCACATACCTGGGAAGCATCATCGATGAACAAGGAGGATCAGATGCAGACGTAGAGGCAAGGATTGGCATGGCAAGGGTCGCACTCCTACAATTGAAGAACATACGGAACTCAAAACAACTATCAACCAATATCAAAGTCAGAATCTTCAATACCAACGTCAAGGCAGTTCTACTGTACGCAGCTGAAACTTGGAGAACTACAACAACCACCATCAAGAAGGTACAAGTATTTATAAATAGTTGTATACGCATGATATTCAACATCCATTTGCCGGATACCATCAGCAAAGCCTTCTGTGGGAGAGAACAAACCAGCTTCCAGCGGAAGAGGAAATTAGGAAAAGACGATGGCAATGGATAGGACAAACTGCATCACGAGGATAGCCCTAACTTGGAATCCTGAAGGGAAGCAGAAAAGAGGAAGGCCAAAGAACACATTACATCGGGAAATAGAATCAGATATGAAAAGGATGATTAAAAACTGAAGCGAGCTGGAAAGGATTGCCCAGAATAGGGTTGGATGGAGAGCGCTGGTGAGCGACCTATGTTCCTTCATGAGGAGTAACAGGTGTAAGTAAGTAAATAAGTAACGTGATATGTCCTTGACCATATTCATCTACTAATATAATTTCAATCCTTTTGTATCCTTGAGCTCAATTTTAACATATGTTGTGAGTTAGAATAATAAAATCGTAGAGTTTTCTTTTTTCGTTTACCATATTGTTTATTTGAATGAGATGATAGATTTAAATTACATAATTCACTTGGTATTGTTTGGTTTGTATCTTTCCATTGAGGTTTAAGACTGCAATTGATCAGTCTGTTATTAGCATATGTGCATACTGTGCGTATGCCTCGATTTTGCCTTAATTCACAAGCTTTTTGTAGTAAGCAATGATGGATAGTGGCTACGCACAGTATGCACATATGCCAATAACAGACTGATCAATTGCAGTCTTAAACCTCAATGGGAATATACAAGCAAAACAATACCAAGTGAATTTAAATTCACCCCATTGCACAAGCAAGTGGCTATCAGGACTCAGTAGCTGAGTGGATAACGCGATGGCGTTTGAAGTGAATGGTACTGGGTTCGAGTCGCAGAGTGAACATCAACTCTGAGATGCATGTACATCCAGCTGACGAGTCCCAAATAGGACGAAACGTGCGTCCTGGATTCCACTGCTAGCCACTATCCATCATTGCTTACTACAAATTACATAATGTCTACCAGTTATTTATGGGAAAACAATAAAACATTACTTGAGTAAAACTTTCCTGCCAGGTTTAAAATAAGGAATTCGAGTAAAAAAATAATTTTATGATCAATATATCAAAGGTTAATGTAAACGCTAAGTTAATGACATTTTTACAAAAATCCATCGGTGACCAACCCTCACCTTCCCATGGTTTCAATTGGTTCCTGAGTTGATATTAGTTTATGACAAAAACTAGCTTTGAAAAATTGTTTCTTTATAAGCTTTAGGGACTAAATTGCGCTGATTAGTAAAAAAGGAGTAGTTAGATTAGACTGCAGTTCTCTATTTGCCACTTTAAAGATTAAAGTACAGACCCTGAAAGTAAGAGATATACATATTATTTAATCGTTAGACTAGAAATGTGTCTGATGTATTGGTGGTGTATGATGAATTCCTCATGAGAGTAGCGCTGGTATTAACCCCACAGTATTGAGAGTCAGTTAATGATGTTGTGAATCACCATCGAGGGAAGATATTGAAACGACTATCTATTAACATCTAATCATTACCTATCATGATGTCCTATACTGACTAGAATAGTAACAATACGCTGTAAAAATGGTACGAGTGCTCTGAAAAACATATGGTAGCATTCTATTAAATAACTATATAGTAGTCTGAATTATCTCAAGATTAAAAAGATACTTCTGTTTGTTTATGAAACAATCATGATCTATAAAATAATTAAAAAACCTTAATTGACAAGGTTTACAATCAGATGTAGTGAAGTACATGAATTCACTTTTTATTCTTCTTAAATATTTAGTGTTTTAATATGGTCGAATAATTGTTATCCTTTATTTCCAGTCAGTTGCTCAGGACAGGGTTGGATGGAGAGTGTTGAAGGGTGGCCTATGCTCCTCCACGAGGGATAACAGGAATAAGTAAGTAAGTAAGTAGTAAGTAAGTAGTTTTCAGTTAATATGTTAAAATTATCTTTTGTACGTTTAGTTCTTCACCTATAATTTATGTTGTTATTTAAACATTGATATTTTTTTATCGTCAAACTTCTCTTCATTAATGATAGTATGAACCATGGTACCTTTGTCTAGTTATCATATTTTTGTCAAGTCTTATGTTGTCAATGACCAACTGATCTATTATAAGAGTAGAAAAGTAGGACAGATTTATTGCAAGGTATATTTTAATCTAAATGGTAATAAAACATACCAATGAAAAATGATATAGAAACGTCAATAGAAGTTTATTGTTTCAAGTTGGTACAAGTTTATGCTTACAAATATAATAAAAAACAACAACTTTAAGATAGAAGTGTATGACACAATTAGATGGGTGAAAATTATAAATATTAAGCTGAAAGTTATTCAGAACTACTAAGACAGAGTAAATCAATAAACAACATTGCAATAAATTTAAACTCATGTCATTTGTAGTCTTCAGTAAACAATTTTCAGCATCATAATAAGGTAACTCTAGACATTAATCTGATTTAATTCATACAACAATCTATGTATAGGCAGATAGTAACTTAATCGTTTCGAATCAAAATATCTTCTATATTCTTTAGGACTATGTTTCAAAGCATTAAAGGTGTATATTACTTACTTACTTACTTACGCCTGTTACTCCCAATGGAGCATAGGCCGCCCACCAGCATTCTCCAACCCACTCTGTACTGGGCCTTCTTTTCTAGTTCCATCCAATTCTTGTTCATTCTTCTCATATCTATCTCCATTTCCCGGCGTAATGTATTCTTTGGTCTTCCTCTCCTCCTTCGACCTTGAGGATTCCATATGAGGGCTTGTCTTGTGACGCAGTTCGGTGCTTTCCTCAATGTGTGTCCTATCCACTTCCAGCGCTTCTTCCTGATTTCTTCCTCTACTGGGATCTGATTTGTTCTCTCCCACAGTAGGTTGTTGCTAATAGTGTCCGGCCAGCGGATCTGAAGTATTTTGCGTAGACAACTGTTAATAAACACCTGTATCTTTTGGATGATGGATTTCGTAGTTTTCCAGGTTTCCGCCTCATACAGTAGAACTGTCTTCACATTTGTATTGAAAATTCTGACTTTGGTGTTGGTTGTCAATTGTTTTGAGTTCCAGATATTCTTCAGTTGTAAATATGCTGCTCTTGCTTTGCCAATCCGTGCCTTCACATCTGCATCGGATCCACCGTGTTCATCGATGATACTGCCCAAATATGTAAAGGTTTTTACATCTTCCAAAGCTTCTCCGTCAATTGTGATTGGATTGGTGCATGCTGTGTTGTATCGAAGAATCTTGCTTTTCCCTTTGTGTATATTGAGACCTATTGCTGCTGAGGCTGCAGCTACACTGGTTGTCTTCTCCTGCATTTGTTGTTGCGTATGCGATAGAAGAGCCAGATCATCTGCGAAGTCTAGATCATCCAATTGCATCCTAGCTATCCACTGTATCCCGTGCTTCCCTTCAGATGTTGATGTCTTCATGATCCAGTCGATCACCAGGAGAAAGAGAAAGGGTGAGAGTAAGCAACCTTACCTGACACCGGTCTTTACTTCGAACGACTTTGTCAACTGTCCTCCATGCACGATTTTGCAGTTTAATCCATCATAGGAATTCTGTATGATATTGACTATCTTCTGAGGCACGCCGTAGTGTCGAAGAAGCTTCCATAGGGTTGTTCTGTCCACGCTATCAAATGCTTTTTCGTAGTCGATGAAGTTGATATAGAGTGATGAATTCCATTCAATTGATTGTTCCACAATGATCTATACTAAACTACTTATACGAAATCAAATACATAAC